GTAACAGATGAGTTTACATGTGCACTTGAGCATTTGGAGCTAACCAAAACTCAGCTATTGAACCCCTCTGTGGCCTTCAGCTCACCACTTAGCTTCTTCAAATATTGTATTTTTCTCAGTTGCAATGAACAGTGAACAGTGTTACCACAGACTATTGTTTGTATACAAATAATGTGGGATTCTGGGAAAAGTGATAGCAAATGCAGAAAGGACTGTAAAGTTTTTAAGGCTTCACAAGCTAGCAAAATTAGGAAGAAAGGTCAATAGTTCTGTTTTTCAGCATGCCATATAATTTGATACTTCATAGATTCTTGCACTGTGTTTCTCACCCCAGTGTCTGAGCTTCTTTCAGCAGCATTTAAGCAACGTGAATAATTTTGTTTAACATGTGGTTTCTTCTCTAAACCACAGTGTCTCTCCCTTTCCCTCATGTAACAAAGGTATAATCCTGGTTCTCAGGGAGCCAGTTCATGATAGTGTGTGTGGACGTGTATATATTTGTATTTACACACACATGCTTTATAAGTAAATACATGTATTTTCTTCCTAAGTTGATCAAAGAAGCTGAATCTTGCTCAAGTTAGTGAAGTAAACTCAGTGTTTTAATTTTAAATTCAGATATGAAGAGTCAAATAAATGTGCCAGGTTTTTTTTTCATTTTGAAAACTCTTTTTGAAAAGGCAAACCTCTTCTTTCCGAACATTCTATCTCTGTCTGCATCAAGTTTCCCTAGAGAAGTTGTACCCTAGAATAATATTTCAAATGTAAATCTTGAGTAATTAATTTTAATTATGACAGAGATGGGAGATAGACATTGATACTGGGGAAATTCAAATTTCTCTGTAGTAAAGAGTAATTGATCTTGTATAAAAAACATTTTTATAAACATTTTCTTCTGCAATAATGCTGGAAAATGGTGGCTGTGAGGGAATGGGCTTCTTTGTATTTAGGCTGATGGTCTTCTAAATTGACAAATTCAAAACTAAAGCCCAACAAACCTGAAACACATACAATCACTTGTACTTCCTATGATAATTTTTCAAACTATTTTAGTATTTTTTAATTAAGTCTCCTCTTACATGAGATAAGGGGATTTGCTTCTTGAATCACACTATCACTCAGGTTGGAGGGGATTTTGGGAGGTCACCAGTTCAATCTGCTGCTGAAAGCAGGGTCAACACTGAAATCAGACTGCATTGCTCATTGCTTCACTATCCTCACTAGCTATTGAAATTTCCACTGTTTCAATTTATGATAATTGTCTTTCTCCCACTGTGTACCTCAACAAAGGGCCTTGTTTTGTCTTCTCTTGTAGGAAAAGATCTAATCTTGCAGCTACTAGAAGACTGGTGTTGTCTCTTTTACCTGTTCCTGCCACAGTAGACAACTCTGGCTTCCATCAGCCTCTCCTTTCATAGAACATCTGCCAGCACCTCAGCATCTTGGCTTCCTTCTGGCTCTAGTTTATCAACATCTTTTTTGTATTGGGGTGCCCAAAACTGGACACAGTATTTCAGATGCAGACTACTAAATGATGAGCAAAGGGGAATAGCCATTTCCCTTGACCTAGCTCTGCTTTTCTTTATCCAAGCCAGGATGCTGTGAGCCTTCACTGCTGGCTGGTGTTAACCCACTGTCCACCAGGATCCCCAGCTCTTATTCAGTGGTGCTGGGTGGCCTGTCAGTCCCAGCCTGTGCAATGGCAAAAGATTAGTCTGGTCAAAGTGCAGGGCTTTATATTAGTCTGTGTTGAACTTCGTGTGGTTCCTGTCAGTCCATTTTCTACCTTGTCTAGAGACAGCCCTGCCCTTGAGCATTGAGTATATTTATGGGATAAACATTGCAGCTATTCATTACTGGCTTATGCTGACATTAGTTTTTTAAAATAAATATCACATCCAATTTTAGAGGAAATTTCAGTGTGATTATGAGGTGGAAATTTTTGGCTTATCGGAATCTGAAACTCCTATTACAAAGGGTGTAAATACTTTCTTACTAGCTACAGAGGTTAAAACCTTCATTTTATACTGAATTTCAGCGAGAACTACTAGCTCCTTATTGTCTCCTATCATGCTGGAGCAATAGTTCAGCTTCTGAGGGCTAGAAAGAGGATGGGACCTTGGCTCTACTCTGACGTGGTGAAAAGAGTGCCACCTACTGAGCCTGTGGCCCAGTTTTGCAAATCTAAGTATGTAAAGCATAGTCTTTAATCCAAATTCTGACTCAGTGCAATCCAGTTTATTAATGATATGAGTTGATGCTGTTACACTACAAGATGTGTCTGTACAAGCCAAAGAAACCTGAGATTTTATATGCTGATAGCTAGGAAATCTTCCTTCCTCAATGTAGCAATAAAATAACGACGTAACAGGGAATGTGTATGTATTAAGTTTTGTTACTGTAAAACTGATGGAAGTGCAGCTGTCATGTAGCATCAGCAATTGCTGAGAAAAGGAGAAAGAAAAAGTAAACTGAAAAAGCATAGCAAAAGCTGCTACTGAAAAGAAGAAATTATGATGGCTGGTTCCAGAGAAGATGTAAGGACTGTGTAACGTGAGGAACAGTCTAGGAACTAGACTATACACCTAAGAGTGAGTGTATAATGGCAAAATTTTTACAAAACACTTCATAAAACTTTTATTGCTCAGTAAGATATCAGTAAGATAAAACAGTAACATACAGTTCTATAAACACCATGTTGTCTAAGTGTGCTGCTTCTATTTTAGGTCTATAAACTAGTTGGTGTACCTACCAGTTCACTTGTTTTTGTTCTTATCCTATTTGGTATGTTTAGGAAATACGACCATCCTTTCCTACAGATTTTGCACCTTATAGCGTGTTTCAGCTTTGTCCTTGTGGTTACTATGCTTTCTTTGGCTCAGCAGGATTCCTATCTACCTTATATGTTATTTAAGGGGCAATTATCAAAACCAACAACGTTAGAATGTCTCCCAGAGCAGGGCAGACAGCACACTCCCTGGCCTGCGCAATGTTAGCTTCTGTAGCCGGATGATGACGTTTCTGCCATTGTCTGCTGCTTTTACACGATTAAGTATTGTGAAACACAAGACACTGGTCATCATTTTGCTCCAACCTCCAAAGAGGTGAAGTACAACATGCATTTGTTCTGTCTGCAAGGAAGAGATACACTTTGCTGTAACAATATGATTTACAGTCGCAGAAGACTGGTGGTGTTTGTGTTTGTTGTTGTTGGTTTTGTTGGGTTTTTTCCCTCCAGTGAAAAGTAAGATAAGCAATTATAATCTTATCAATATCTGATGTGCTTCATGGGAGGCACTGATTGCCTAACATTTGTAACAGAGAGGAAATAACTCCAGCTTATGAAACCTGTCTTTTCAATCTTTACTAGGGCAAATTAAGAGAATGGGTTTTATGCCTTTGACTACAGCTAGTCATTATATGTTCAATTAATTATATTTGCTTTACATATTAGGTAATTTGTGAACACCTGTGAATATCCTTTTTGTACTGATTTATATAGTTATAGACCTATTGCTCCTGTCTATTCAGAAGTTTGGAAGAGCAAATGAATTAATGGTAATTCAAGAGTTTTCCTTGAAGGTTGAGGCAGTGTCTATTGAGACAATTGCATCAAATGATACCCATGGTTAAGAAAGAAAAAAAGCTTTACCAGTAGTAGCCGTGGCTACTGTTTTGCTCTTTACCTCCATGTGTCTCTCACTGTTATTCTCTGCACTGTGACAGGAAAAGATTGGGTGTGGTAATTAGACTACTGACCTGGGACTCGTCAGAGAAACCTGGTTATGCATCTGATATGTTCTGTAGTCATGGGCAAGTCACTTCTCTGGGCTTCTGTTTCCACACATCTTGAGCTTCCCTGGTAAAAAGTTCTGCAGGAACTATTGAGAAAGCAATGCAAACTACAGTAAGCAGTGCAAAAATTACTTCTGTATTTCACTCTATAGAGCAATATATGCTGGAAGGGAAACTGCCCTGCTGGTCTGGAAAAAAAAAAAAAAAAGAAAGCAGCTATGCTACTGTGTGCACTGAATGATATGAGTCTGGATGAAGGTAAACACGTGGCAATGTGCACGTTAGAGAAAAATGTTTTGCATTTTCGTGTTGCTTGGCACATTTCACTGAATGTGAGTATAATCTGTGAATGCTGTCTAAAGGTCATTTTATAATCTAAAAGTTTCATCGATTGTGAACAAACTCGAATAGCAGAGCAGTCTACAGAGGGAGCAATGACAAAGCAGCTTCTTTATTTCCTGCCTTAGTAGGGTAGAGTAGCATGCCTGTATTAGCCAGCACACTGTGTTTTTTATTCTCGGACCAAGGCAACAGAGGAAGCCATATTCCAGTAGACGAGCTGAACATTTTTAGAAACCTCAGTAGTATGTGTTCTTGTGAAAGTACATTTCAGGTGTTTGGTAAAATAGCCGACAGTATAGACATGACCTGAGGATTTGCATTAGACAAAAATCCTTTCTCCCTTCTCAGTTTTTCCGCTTTTTCTTCTGAAAAAGCTGTGAAAAAAGGGCCCAAAAGGGGGAAACAGAAAAACATGTTTTCCTCCGGTACAAATGCTTCCTTAAAAACGAAAGGTGTTAGCTTGTTTTTCTTTAGACAGAAAAGCCATGAAGCCTAACTTTGCTGGGGAGGCCGGCACTGAACTCGCGGCATCAGAGCGGCGCGTTCCGCCAGGTGTTGGACACGGCAGTATTTTGCAGGGCTTGGCTTCCAAATCAGTGCTGCAAACTCTCTGCCCGCCCCTCACTCGTTGGGGTTTTCCCCTCCTTCCCTGCCAGCAGCCACAGCCGAGCGCAGAAGGTCAAGCCGAGATGTGTGCACAAGGGCAGGGGGCCCAGGCCGGTGCCGGGCAGAGGCACTGAGAGCCCGCGGGGAGCTGCGCCCGGGGGGAGGAGGAGGAGGAGGAGGGCGGGAGGAGGAGGAGGAGTTGAGGAGCCCGGGCCCGGGAGCCTCCCCGCTTACCGCACTAGGAAGTGACGCTTTCCCTGAGTCCCGGAGAGAAAGAAACAAAGTTTGTTTTTTTTTCCCTCTTTCTGCGCCCCCGCCCCCCTTTCCGAACAGGCGCCCCGCGTCCCTCGCGGCGCCCGCCGTGCCTCGCTGCGCAGGTGAGCCAGCACGTTCTCTTTCTTCCCTCTCCTGTTTTCCGCGCCTTTATTTTTTTTTTTAATTCGCACGATTTGCTTCCGTTTTCCTGCCATTTTGGAGAGAGGGGTGACTTTCCTGGGGCTTTTCTTTTGAGGGTGGTGGTGCGTGCTTTGTGTGTGGGTGCTGGGTGCAGGATGAGGAGCAGAAGTACCTGTGGAGGTGATGAGGGCGGCTGGCTCCGCGCCCGAGCCGCGCAGCCCCGCGGGGCCGGGGCAGCGGCACTGCCGGCCCGCCTGCTGCGGGGGGCCGTGCTCGGCTGCTGAGCCATCGCCTCCCGCCTTGCCGAGAGTTGTTACGAACGCTCCGGAGGGGTTTCTGCGCGGCTGCCTGGCTGCGGCAGGGCGTTCGGGATGTGTCCGTGTCCGGGTGAGCTGCCTGCGGATGGTACTTTGGGGGACTGGTTTGGGTCGGGGGGAGGTTCCCTTTGCTCGCTGCGTGCCGGAGCCGGGGCAGCCCGGCGTGTTTGGCGGCCCTGGGCGCTGCGGGGGAGCCGCCGAGCCTCGGCCAGCGCCGAGCGAGCAGCGTGGCCGGGGTTGGATCGCTCTGCTGGGCTTTACTCAGTGGAGGGGGATGGGGAGGAATTTGTTAGATAATTTCTGAAAATCCCGTGCTCGCCAGTGTACAGCTCTTTTTCTGGCAGCAACTGCAAAGGACTGATTCGTTGCAGTTTAGCACTAAAAGCTAACAATACACCTACGCGCGTATGTGAGAGTCTTATATAATACTTACGGGGTTTTTTTTAAACAGGCATAAGCAGGATTTATTTTTGGTTTGTAAAGTCTTGTGTGGTTGCAGCTTGCAGAATTAGCGAAACATTCCGTTTGCTCGACGGAGATTTACTTTCCATCTTCTTTAAAACAGCTTAATTTTTTATAATAATTTGATTTCATTCCGACTACGTGTTTTGAGCGCAGTGTAAAGGCCATCTGTACTGGAGCAAGCAGTTAAGGGAGGGGAAGAGAGAAAAGAATTGTCCTAATGCGGACACTGATATTAGGTTGTTTAGAGGGCGAGACTGCAGTTCCAAACAGCAACAGCAGCAGCTTTATGACTGTGTGTAATTACAGAGTGATTGCATAGGGCAGCATTGTTGGGACGAATACGTATACACAGGCTATTGTGCAAGATTTCTGTACCGAACAAAACCTAGTTTTGCATTGCAAATGCTAAAGAGAACGTATTCTGCATTGAACTGCCACGTTCCTCTTTAACTTCATCGGAGAATTAGAAGGGGAGGTGGGGAGAAGTGGAGCAAGGCTGATCATAGAAGTCACAGACCTGAAATACTCAGCAGAAATGCCGCGAGTAGTCTCTGAAATCACAGCAGACAGAAACTGAAAGCTCGTTGAATCTGCGGGTTCATGTTTCTAAAGTGATTATGCAGCAAGTGAAAATGAAGCAGGCTCGCTAACGCTCCTGCAGGTTTAGTGTAATTCTTGCTCTGGTCTGATTTCTTGTGTGCCTGTGTTAAAATAAGCAACTGCAGTTCAGCTAGCTTCCTTGGAAATGGAGGGAAGAGCATTGAGGAGAGTTTCTGTGTCAGGCCACAAAAAATCAGAGCTTGAAAGGAAGTACACTTAGAGCATGCTTCTTCAACTTTAACTAGAGTTCCATCTTGTTCAGTGATCTTGCAGGCAGCGTTGACTGAGGGGATAGTAAGAAGCATTGGGAATGTGTGCCACTGACACTGTACTAGTAAGTGTTTTAGGTAAGACTTTGAAAGACTGACATAGTTATGCCAAAGTTCTTGTGGGTGCAACTTAAGGTCGCTAAGATTTGTTTTTCAGAGGTGCTGATTATCTGTTATTTATATCATCTTAGTTTTGGAAGTACTTGAAATTAAGGAAATAGCAGATCTGAAAGATTTCAGATCTGGTACTCAGAAATTGGCCTTTCTAATATTAGAGACGTTTTTCTAGAAATGTTGTCTTTGGCCATCACTGCTGATGTCTTAAGTGCGACAAAGGCTTGTGAAGTGTTTTGAGTATTGTGATGGAAAGTACTATAAATATGGAAAGCTGCTTTAAAATTACTTGATGTTCAACTAGCATATATTTTAGCTATACACACAGATCATCTTATTATTGGTAGTTTCCTCAGGTTGTTAATGAAATACTTCATGTAAAATGTATGTGGCTTTGTTAATGAAGAATATACAGATGTACTGATGGTGTTTGTTGTTTTGTTTGTTTGTTTGTTTTTTAGCAAGTGGCTAATGATCTACAGGACAAGGCCTGTCACTTGACAAGCTTTCATAGTGATCCTTCTGTAATTTTACTGGAGCATTTTCATACAAAGTGCATATGTTAATCTGTGTGTTACTGTGGTGTTCTACCTGTAGATTTTTCTTGGGATTGTACTTCATGTCTTGACTGACTTGTCAATCTATCTTATACTGAGTGTTTTAACGTCAAAATTACCTCTGGAGTAAAACAGGAATAGTGCTTAAAGATTCCTTGGATCATTTGTGGTAGTGATACAATGTAGTCATTCCTTATGCTAAGTCTGCTTTTCACAACCTGTGTGGTAGGAGAGAAAGTTTTAGGCCAGGATTCCTCAGGCTTGTATACTAAGGAGTAGGTAACTTGCATGTCCTTGAGTCGTCCTGTGGTACTCAGTGGAATTAGTCAGAGATATATATACATTTGTGTGCATGTTAGCAAAACAGAGGCATAGCCGTGCTGGCCTTTAACCCATCAAGGTGCATGGGAGTAGCTGTAATATGAAATGGTGAGAGCTGTAGCACAGTACAAGCATTTTGAGAATCTGCATAGACATTCCAGATATTGGTTATGTTTTTGCATTTTCACTCTTACTGTCACCTGTCAGTGGTGGCTGCAGAACTGCAGGAGATATTTTCAAACCTGTCATCCCTTCCATGACATGTTCTGTTGAGCTGCTGAGCTATCCCTTAAGTTGCCCCTGATGGAGGACCTGCAGCCTTTCTTTGGAAATGGGCACCTTGGTGATGATGGTACAGCAGTGTGTGTGTGGGGAGGTGTGTCCAGGCCTGTAAGGAGACAAGAGTGACTGTCATGAATCAGAATGGGAGTCTGCCTAGCCTGTGGCCTGGTTTCCAAAGGTGGACATGTTTCCTATATGCTTAGCAGTTCTTGAGTTTCTACTCAAGAAACTTACCTGGTTTTCTGTTGAGCTTAGGTAAACATTTAGCAGACACTTTTTTTAACCTACTGATGGAATTGTTGAATGAGGATGTTAGTAAGAACTCATTTTTGTTGTTTCACCTTTTCTAAAAAAACATCACCACCACCAAAACCAGGTATCTTTTTCTTGTCTGAAGCATTGTATAAAATCTTAGTAATGATTGCAGTAAATTACAGTTTATGCTAAAATGAAGTCTAGTAAATTTGCATGCTAGTCTCCAGTGCAAGTAGTTAAATTCTAAATGACATAAAGTGAGAAATAAACCACTTTTCTCTGAGTGTTCACTGTGTGAAAGGGGGAGGTGAGGGAAACGAGCTCTGGTGGTGAGGTTTTGTAACACATGTCCAAAAAGCTGCAAGTTCTGGCATGGGCAAGCCAAGGCTCATGAGTCACAACCAAAGAGAAGACTTGTCACTGAGCAATTTGTAAATAGGAGGGATGTACTGCTAATTCAAGGAAATATCATCCTGAGGACCTTCCGTAATAATTGGAAGTGTTGCAGAGAGCTGTCTGTCAGATGGGAGTTGTTTGTACTTTGAATCACACGTTCCCTTTAGTGTGATTTGACGAAGATTTCTTGGTTTGGATGCTCATGTGTTATGTAGGTCCCTGAAGGAGGTAGTTGGTCAAGTAACAATTTCAATTTCTGCAGCTGCATACCAGCAACTTGCATTCTGCATGGGAGCTCCTTGGCAGCTACAGCAGCTCCTAGTGCACAAATGACATGTGTTTGCAGTGTGAGGCTGCGCAATAAGCAGCTCACAATGCTTTGCATAACTTCTGTTTCTGAATGGTCTCCAACTGTAGCCCTTCTCAGTGCTCTGCTGATCAATTCCAATGACTGAAAAATACACAGAATGTTATGAGTAAAAGCTGTAGTCGGCACACTGGGAAAAAATTTGAATATATGCATTTTGAATGCAGCCAATATGCAGGTATTTAGGAGCAACCATTCAAATGGGGATGCAGAGATAATCTTGGTAGTTAATTCTTTGCTTTTCTGGCTGTGTTGATGCTTTTTATCATATTTGGACAACCAGAGATAACCAGACTTCAAGTAATATAATTCATTACTATGTATATAATATGGAAGATGTACAGATATTCTTTGAAATGTACATATCCCAAAAATTAATGTTCTCTTTATGTACAAGTGAATTACATGAATGCCCCTTGTTGAATTGACAGCTGTTGTTGTTCAAGAAGTTGAAAACTGGGAACAGCTTGATTTGGAGGGAGTAGCAAAGTGTTCAATATGTGTTAATTTTTTGTTTGTTTGTTTTTAAAGGCATCTTGAAAGGCCTACAGCAATGAAAAAATGCTTTCTTTTTTACTCTTCATTAATTAATGAAAATTAATTATAAAGTTCTATATTGTTTGACTTAAATATTGGTAATGATTGAAACTTGTGAGGGGAAATGGAGGAGCAAGCAGTGATCTCTTCAGTCTCCTGACCGGTGACAGGACTCCAGGAAATGGCATGAAACTGTGTCAGGGGAGGTTAAGTTGGATATCAAGAAAAAGTTTTTCACCCAGAGGGTGGTGGGGCACTGGAACAGCCTCCCCAGGGATGTGTTCACAGCACCAAGCCTGACAGAGTTCAGGAATTGTGTGGACAATGCTCTCAGGCACATGGTGTGATTCTTAGGGTGTCCTGCACAGGGCCAGCAGTTGGACTCAAACTCAGCATATTCTGTGATTCTCTATGTTAAATGGTATTAATGACTGAAGTAGTAAACTGAGAAACAGTTTTGATATTTTTTTTACTAAATATGTTACTGATTCATTACATGTTCAGTGTTGAGATATAAAGAGACAGGAAATGGAATAAAGTCCATATCCATGCTTTATTTTTAATTTTCTGTATATTATCTTTTCACATGAAAATTGGTTCTCAGTTGCTTGGCTTTCCCCATAATAGCTTACTAATAGGAAAGGTCACAGTGCAGTAATATATATTGGTATATCCTCTTGTCATTTATTTTGGGAAGACAAATTAAATGTGTATGTATATTTATAATTCTACGTTAACACACACTATTCTGTTAATACACCATTAAATTTCTCATGTTGTAACTCAGGTCCCCTGAGAAAGTTTTTTGACTGTTTGTACTGTTATTTCAAGCTTGAATATTGTGCTAAATTTTGGGGTTTATCTTAATTTGTTGTCTTTGATAATGTTGCTTTTGGTGTTTCTAGAGCTATAGTGACCAAAACATGCATGAATTGTGATTAGAAGGTTTATTCTTGTCTTTTTTTTTTTTTTTTTAATGAAAGGCATTTAACTGAAAGGATTTTTGAAATACTGGTTTAGTTTTGCAGCCTGGTAGTAGTACAGTGTTGTATGGTTGATTTCCAGGTACCAGATCATCTGCTTCCCTTCGGTGTGGGTACACTAGAATCTGTTGTTCCCTGAAGCTGCCTGTTGTGGGGCAGTCAGTCTGCTGAAATGCTTGTCACCTTGTCTGTGGTGTGCGTTGTCATGAGGTCCGAAGTTGAATAATCTCCAGTTTGAATAATCTCCAGATTGCCTTGTTGTGGTGTAGTTCATAGGTGAAAGTACATCCCAGGTTGCTTGACGTTGTTGCGTGATTTCAGACTTGGCTTAATCGTGTATGCTTATGTGCGGCCTGGTCTGCTGCGCCTGCCTACACCCAGGATTCCTTGAGCATCTCCTTTTGAACTCCTGCACACGTCTCCTGGCAATTTGTCATTAATTGCATTATTGTTTTGAGGTTTATAGTAATGCAAGTCAACTATTCTTGCAGTTTTATAATACTCTTATCTCTTCAGATTCTCTGTCCTGAACAGTCACCTTTAAACACACTGAAAAGTAAAGCAAAACAAAGTGCCATACATTAACAATACTCCTGGGATTTCAACTGGATTATTTGCCATAAAACTGTTCTAATTTCAGGCTTTATTTCTTCCTACATAATGTATTGATTATTCTTTCATGCACTTCGTGAGAGTTTGCTGTGTTTGTGGAAAATTGCTGCACTTAGGCGGAGGAGAATTTAGCAAACTATTTTCCTATTTTAAATTCGGTTTTATACCATTTGAGAAAAAAATCCCAGCACTGCCAAATTCCTGGTGAAAGGAGGGAGAGAAAGACACAGACGTAAGGCCTTCTGATTGCTTTCGGAGACTCCAGTGATGACAGTTCAGGATCCCAAATACTCATCTGTGTGAAACTGTCAGGGAAATCTGACTGGTTTAGTTTGATTTCAAGACTTGGAAAACTCTGAGCTGAATTATTTTCTTAAAATCTTTTTTTACAAGCTCTAGATGTTATCCTATATGAGACATGCTAAATATAGGGAACAATTATAATATTTATTCTATTTAATTAAGATTATAAATTTTGGTTTTTATTAGAAAGCTATTATATTTTCAAATTTCTAGAAAATATAAATATTTTTTCAAGTCTGTATCATGAGTAAATCATGTTGTCTTTCTGTGATGGTATTTGTTTAAATTGACATGTTTTAAGAGATATTGAGATGACTTGGAGAAGTAAAGGAATATATTATAAATGAAAGCTATGACTAATGAAATATTACTGTACCATTGAGCATTCTTAAGAGTCTAAGCTGTCCTCCTTGAATAGTTGGAAAGTCTCTTGCATGTAAAGGGTGAGATTGCAAGTAAATAATTGTGCAAAATGTTGCATTTGATTATGGGCTTCAGTTTTTTCTTATTTAATTTCGATACTGAAGTGGTCTTTGTTGCTATTTCTAAATACATTCAATAGTACAAAATGTATTTAAGACATTTCTTCTTTCCAGTTGAAGTATGAGAGCTACATAGACTCCTCCTCAGTTTAGTCCTCTTCTTATTTTGGCAAAAGTGAAATATTTCAGGTATGGTACTGACTCAGCTGACTTATTTTGCTATTGCAGCTCTCTTTCTATAGAAAATGTACCATAACTTTTTCTGTAGAAAAATTTGATCTGTAATAAAAATGCCCTTTTATTGTCTAAAAATATGAAAAGAAGAATCTGAAAGTCCTTATAAACAATTAGTTTTAATTTTGAATTTGAGATGTAAAGAACGAACATTTGAAGAAATGAGGTATTAAAAACCTGGGAAATTTGGTGTAGCTGATACTATACTTAGGTTTTGCACATGTTAACAGTGAGTAAGGGGCTGCCTCGCAGGAAGCTTTGTTGAAGTCAATGCTGATATTTTTTTTATTTAAAATATGAATGAAGTTAGCTGATTTTTTTATTTGCAATATAAATAAACCTAGTTACCTTATGTAGTGGGTTGACCCTGGCTGGACCCCAGGTACTCACTGTAGCTGCAGTACTACTCTCATTCCCCTCTGCAACTGGACAGAGGAGAGAAAAAAAAATAGCGAAAGATTCATGAGTTGAGATAAAAGCTGGGAGGGTCACTTACTTATCACCATCACAGTTCTTCATGAAACTGCTGTCCTGTGGGTCACTCCTCCTTGGGGTGCAGTCCTTCACGAATGAGCTGTACCGACGTGGGTCCCCCACAGGGGCCACAAGTCCTACCTGGGAAAAACCTGCTCCAGCGTGGGTTTCCCTCTCCATGGGCTGCAGGTCTCTGGCAGGACCCTGCTCTATCTTGGGCCTCCCACAGGGTCACAGCCTCCTTCGGATATCCACCTGCTCCAGCACGGGCTCCTCCATGGGCTGCAGGGGGGTCTCTGCACCCTGATGGTCCCCCATGGGCTGCAGGGGCACAGCTGCCCCACCATGGTCTGCACCACGGGCTGCAGGGGCCTCAGCTCCGGCACTTGGAGCACCTCCTGTCCCTCCTTCTGCACTGACCTTGGTGTCTGCAGAGTTGCTCACATGCTCTCACTTTGCTCTTCCCTGGCTGGAATTCTTTCTGCGCCACAACCTTCTGTTCTTAAATGTGTTATCACAGGGGAGTTACTCTCACTCTTGATTGGCTTGGCCTTGGCCAGCGGCAGGAAGTCTGTCCTGGAGCTGGCTGGCATTGGCTCCTCCAGCCAGGGGAAGCTTCTGGCAGCTTCTAACAGAAGCCACCCCTGTAGCCCCCCCGCTACCAAAACCCAGCCACGGAAAGCCACTATACCTTACCTTTACAGAGGAAATTAAAACACAGAGAGCTCTGTTAGCAAAAGAAATAAAATGCAGATTTGAAGGCTTGATTTGTAAAGTTTTTCTCTGCAACTGGAAGAGCTCTTTGTTATTAATAATAATTACTATTGATATAAATTGCACACTGGAAAATTCAGTTTCCTTATTCAGGTAATCTCTCCTGGCATTTTAAAATGAGCTAGCCTGCCTATGCAGGTTTTTGTTTGTTTGTCTAAGAATGACATCAACATATGTTTGCTAAATTGTTAAGCACAGGAGACAGATGAAACTTGGATAGACTGGTCATAAAGAAGCAAGGCATCTGTAACACAGAGGTGATAGAGCAAGATTGGAGACCTTTTACTGGCCTTCAGGTTGCACTGCTGCTTTTTAGCGATTTTTATGGATTTCTCCACTAGGCACCTCTGCAGAGGTATCATCAGGCAAGTATGAGACCAAGGGCAGTGGCCCAAATACTTGTCAACACCAACAATTGCTTGACCACACATATGTGGATATTTAGTTAAAGGGACAGTGTATTTGACACTTGGAGTTGATGTTAAAACACCCATGTTGTCAAGGTGCTGCTTCTTCTGTGCTGACAAAAGTCATGTTGAAATGGCTTTTTGGTTTTTGTTTTGTTTTTCCCAGTGGTGATAACCAATAGCTGTTCCAATCCTAATCAGTAATATTCTATTATTATAGTACTGTCAAGTTACAGTTAATGTTTATGGAAGAATGATATTTAGATGAAGGGCAAAACTTCCTGTTTTTAAAAGACGAGCCAAAAACAAACAAACATTCTCATGCACACACAAAATAAAAAAATGCCAAGGTAGGAAGATACTTAAATTTAGAAGCTTTTAATGCTTCCTTCATGAGATATATTGGTATTTAAACTATACTTGAATTTTGATCTCAAATTGTAAATGCTAAGTCCATATACTACAAAATAGCATACTTCAAGGACCATATGACAAAAAGCAAACAAGAAAACTCAGTATTTGAGCTGATTCACATGTTACTCAGCTAAAGAGCAGAGATGGCACTACCATTTGCAGCAACTCTTTGCTGTCAAATATGGAAAGATAATTTCTTATGAAGCAAAAAAATCCAGTTTTCTATATTCGTCAAAAGTCTGAGCAGAGATCTACTGAAGAGGGTTTTTGAGAATAACTCAAATCTGCATAAGATGATTTGCTTCTACACTTTACATCATAAGCATCAGTAAAAAGGACTGCACCTGCTCTCAGGCTACATGGTATAGATAAGTCTACAGTTTTACTTTCATATTCTGAGGCAGTATGGTTTTACTGCAGGTTTTTACCATTTTACCATTTTTTTAGTTTGAATAATATGTAACAAAGGTGCAGGCTACATTTAGACCTTTAGAAGGCTAAGTGACCTATAGGTTTCCCTTTTGTCAAAAGTAAATTTCAGGGTCTGATTTGCAAGTGAATGTTGCAATGCTGTGACTGGGCCTGTACCAGCAGTTCTTACAGTGATCTGTTTCAGGAATACGGCCTAGAAATTGAAGTTAGGGGGAGCTTTCTAATATATATAGCTTTCTAAATATATGTTTAAGAAGTCACATCCATACTCTTCCCAAGAAGGCAATGGCTTTGTGTAGCCTTTTAAAATATTAAATAAAATCTTAATCTCTTTCAGTAGGCTGAAGTGCTTTTATTGTTCTTTTTGTGACAACCCACCCTTAAGGGGAACTGATGATTTATGATTCCATTGAACCTTTTATTCACCCTTAGACAAAACAAGCTGCTTATACTGAAACTAAAATGGTCAGCACAAGGTACCTTGAGCTTAAAACAAGTCACGCTCTTTGTCCTCACCCAGAATACCCATTAGGCCTTCCAGTCTGGAATTTCCTGGAGCTGATGAGCCTACACTTGCATCTACAAACTTAACATAGTTGTTAAGACAACTATGGGATAAGTAGGACTAAAGACAGGCAGACTTGAAAGAGAAGGCAATAAAATGCTATTCAGGGAGGAAGTGTTTTCTGGTGCCATAGGACACACAAAAAACCTGTTTCCATCTTTCTCCCTTTCTTGCTAGCTGGCTGCTGAAAAGCAGTTTACACTGTTTGTGCCTTGTTATCATCCTCGTTTTATGGTGAGGTAATTGTTTTCAACCAAGAGGCTACAGAACCTTACTCTGACCTAACAGTAGTGGCATAGTGTGAGTGGGAGTGGAGATTTTGCCTCACGCGGGTGAGTTGATTGACAAGGGCTCTGATAGGGGAAGGTGTGATATGTGAGTCTGAATTTGCATCTCCATGGCTGGGTGAATGTTTTGTCAGCAGACTGTGTATAGGAGTTTACATCCTCTCACACTGACTGTGTTTGAGAAGGAGCTGACTTTGCTGTTATGAAATGGTTATTGGCACCCTCTGTGGTGGGCACACAGAGCCACTTAAGATAGAGGCACTTAAGTCTCGGGTAAAATAGCAACTTTTTGCATTGAACTGCAGATATATGTTTGCCTATATGCATTCTCTGTGGTTGCCTTTTGACTAGCTTTTTCCCAGACATTGTAATTAAAAGGCTGATTTTTGGTTCTCTGTGAGCTGCTTAATCCCATCATATTCTAGAAATCTGAGATCTGGAATTGAGGCTTCTGGATTGTAGTCTAGAAATGAGTCACCAGTTTTTGTGTGGAACAGATTCCTAGAATCATAGAGTATGCTGAGTTAGAAGGGACCCATCAGGATCATGGAGTCCAACTCCTGGCCCTGCACGGGACACCCCAAGAATCACACCGTGTGCCTGAGAGTATTGTCCAAATGCCTCTTGAACTCAGGCTTGGTGCTGAGTAGATTGAGTTTCCCTAGCCAGGTTACTTGGCTTTAAATCATGTTGTCAGTGAACAAAATTGTCTCCCTGGTTCTATGCACTTGGGTGATTTCAGCTAGGCCCTTATGCAGAGTTATTTCATACTTTTCTGTTTCTGGGTTGGATAATTTTGTCAGTGTCATTGAAAAGGTAAAAGATGGAAGAAACCGAAGTGGTGGATCAACTTTCTCCCTTAGAGCATGGGTTCAGGGCATTTTTTACATTTCTCAGCTACTCTATTGTGTTTTTTTTTTTTTTTTATTGTGAAGATGAATAGAACTGCTTAATTTTGCTGTGTGCTAAAAAGCATCTTAAGAAGACAGTTCTTTCTGAGTGACTTGATTTATGAGAGAAGAACAGTTTGGAGGTAGAAGAATATTCTGTGTTCAGTGACAGCTATAACAGAGTAATTTTAAGCGACAGAATTTGCTTAGGAAAGTGCTCTACATTAAGTGTAGGATGCCTGGCTGTTTACAAGTAACTGTCTAAGCTGCACAGTTTGGATGCATGTGAAAATCTATTGACATCTTTAGTTACTCAACTGGTTTATTTTTGGGAACTCGTGAATTGGCAGGACACAGTGACCCTGTCTGAAAGGGAAAAGCATCATGACTTTGAATGCAGGAGACTTAGTGAATATACTTGCTACTATTTCTTTGCAGGAACTATCATGGAGATTTTAACCCTTTGCTTTTCCATGAACATTTTTGCATAGTGTTGATATATTTTAATGAAAATCTAATACTACTCTGTCAACACAATGGCTTAATGTGTCAGATTTGAAGAGTATGAAGTTTTGTGCTTGAAAAAGGGGAAAAATTATTTGGTGATAGATTGCTTGTTGGTAACCTTTTATGTTATACCCTTCACTGGGAATAGCTATAGCTTGGATTCAAAACTGGTCCTGGTCACAAGAGGCTGCAACATAAAAAAGACAGAGCAGTCTTGCATACAAGTGATATTGAGTTACAAGCAAGTAAGGAGCTGAGAGACGTTGTATTTATGTATACAAAAGCACAGCTGTATTTTGTATGACACTGATACTGTTTTTGCACTCTGTGGCTAGAGAGACCCAGTAGACAGAATTAAAAATTGACAGTAACAACTGCAAAGTGTTGTGGAAATTTTGTTCTTTCTGTTGTAAGTTTTCTGCTCGTGACTGGTTTATGAAAACCAGTACTCTTCGCATAGTGCATAAGAGTGAAACCCAGAAGGCTTTCTTGTAGTGTGTTCCTTGTAGCTGCTACTTATAGTCCTGGTTTGGAGAGCTGATACAAGTTTGCATGGGGAGTTTATTGTGGAAGACAGTTGGTTTTCTCTTGGCCTTTAATATTCAGTACTCTGACAGCATCAGAAATTCTCAACTGCATTATCAGTTTAGTTGAAAACAACTTCATTGCTGGAAATAAATAACTTCAAAGCATTTTACTTAATGTTACTTGCAGTCGTCTTACTGAAAAGTTAAAGTTGTGTTTGTTACTCTTAGTTATTCCATATCCCTTTATTCATTCACACAGTTCACTTGTAGTATCACACCAGCATTGCAGGATTTCTTGCAAATGCTGAATTGCAAGAGCAGATAAGTTACCAATCACTTTGAAAGGAAAGAATCACTGATTCGATTTTTGTGTGTTATAAAAACAAA